TGGGATAAACAGAGAGAGAGAGAATAAGAAAATGCGTGTTCTCAGAGCCTAGCTTCATCCTTCCAGGCCAGACTTTGCTGGGTCCTCTGCAACTACAAGATCTCCCCACAATTTCTCCTGCAAACCAATAACTATCTCAAGAGGAAGTAGAGAGTTCGTGTTCAAGAATCCTAGAATTGGGCATGTCAAGTAGGTAAGTTGCACGTTTAGGAAAGTTAAGATAACTGAGTCTGAATTTTATCATTACCAGAATCTTAAAAGTCAATCCAGTTCCAATGGAAAACTGTACATTTCCTACTTGTTCTTTATTTACACAAATATTTGTCTCCTCTCACAGACCCTGCAATGTGGCAGAGAGACTGATGAATTGTAGGTGGCAGTAGACACAGCTGATGGAATTATGGGAGTCATCCTTAAATTGAACTGGACCTGAAAAAAAGTACAGTCTTCCCTCGATATCCTTGGGGGATTGGTTCCAGGACTCTGGCAGACATTCAGATCTCCATATATAAGTACCTTATATAAAATGGCATAATATTTCACTTTAAGCTGAGTATATCTTCTGTATTCTTTAAAAGATCTCTGGGATATTTATAATACTGAATACAACAAAAGTGCTATGCAAATAGTGGTTTTGCTGCATTGTTTAGGGAATAATGACAAGGAAAATAAGACTGTACATTTTCAATACAGATGCAATTGTCCCCCCAAATATTGTCCCCCCATCCACGTTGAGTTCATCCACAGATGAAGACCCTGTGGATATTGAGGACCAAATGTATATAAATTTTCTACTATTTACTAAACCAGTGCATGATTATTTGTTCCACCTATGCTCAAGGTTCAAATCTAGGAACCAGAGCCAATCAACTTGGTAGATACCCAGTTTCTAGCCTGAATATTCAGGATCCTTAACAGTAGAGATGGTGATAGTTGGTTTTATTACAATCAGTAGGTTACTTATAAACAGCATGTTTCTGCTGCTGTATTTTTAAAGACTTATTTATTTGAAAGGCAGAATTATACAGAAAGAGGTAAATGGAGAGAGAAAGAACTTTCACTCCTCAAATGGCACAATGGCTAGGGAAGGGCTAAGCCAAAACCAAGAGACTAGAGCTCCATCCAGGTCTCCGATGTGGGTGGCAGGGGACCCAAGTATGTGTGCCATTGTCCACTGCTCTTGCAGGCACATTAGCAGGGAGTCAGATTAGAAGGGGAGCAGCTAAGACTCGAATCAGTGCCCATGTGGGATGTGGCATTGCAGGAATTGGTACAATGCAGGTCCCTATTTTTTCTTTCTTACCTTTTTTTTTTTTTTTAAAGATCTGACTTTTCCTAAAGATTATTTTTTCAGTCTGCTGTTTTTCATTTGTTTCACTATTCTCAATCTTACTTTTCTTTTGTTCAGTTAGAAGTAATGAACTGACCTTTAAAATATGCTATATAAACCATCCAGACAGCCCCCACTTTTCAGTGCAGTTGTCAGCACAGAAATATGGAGAACTGATCTTGAGGGCCCAGGAATTCTGGAGGACATGTTAGCTGCTGATAGAAGCCCCTTTTGAGTGAAAAGTGTGAAAAACAGGATGTGTATATAACTGGGACACTGTCATAGAGATCCCTGAGATAAAGTTAATCATAATTAAAAACAGGAACGATCAAGAAAACACGCTGTAAATTAAAATGTTTCTCAGAAGGATAACAATTTTTGTTCTCATTCTTATTTTCTAAATGGTATGAAATGGGTTGTTTGATAATGTTTATATGTCAGTGATTTTTATCTGCATCCACATTCAGAAGGAAATGTTCTTTTACTTATGAACTAGTGAAGTAGCTATATTATTAAAGCTCTGAGCAAACGAGAAGTGACGGCTTTGTAGTGGTCCACTATCTGACCTAATCCGAACTTGCAGTCAAGACTCAAAGTCAAAGTGTTTGTCTGGTAGGCAAGGGTAATGTTTTATGGATTTTTGTATCACTTTCAATGCTTTACACCGTGTCCTGCATAAGATATTTTCTCAATAAATATTTTATGTATTTTAAGTGGAAAACTTACCTCTCCAAATAAACAAACAGAAAATGAGGTGTTTTTTCAGTACTTCCTTATTGGAACACTGCAGCTAAATAATAAAACCAATTCCAACAGCTACTGAAACTCCAGAAAATATCTGACTCAGTTTTCAAAATAAATAAAACCAAATCATATTAAATAAGACTTGGCTAAACTATGTTGTTGACCTGAGTTTGGTGGGCACTGCCAGCTAAATAAAGAGGAAACAGTTTCTTGAAAATGTTCTCTGAGACCAAACGCACCTAAGAAAGCGAAAGGTTAGAAGATGAATGTTCAAAACATAACATTGCTAGATTGCCCAACTGTCCTCTTCAGTTAAAATACACAGTGACTTCAGCTGCCCTTACTTGAGTCTTTCAAGTAAGCTTTCAACTATTTTGATTTTATATAAAGACCTTACATATCTTCATGCAGAATTAATAACGGAAGGAGTCACTGTTATTAAGAGATCATGAAAATCTAAGAAATATACATAAAATCTATATATACAGCCAGATCCAAGAATTCTTCAGTATTCAACATGTACTCATACTTCAAAATAGAGTAAAAGGGCAAAAGGAACCAAAGACTTATCCCTACATGGCATCTTTCTATTTGATATCTGCATTGAAAGAAAATCTTGAAATTCTAATAAGAGGAGAGGAAGTATTGAAAACTATGAGGAGAGAAATTTGCTTCACACACATAATTTATTTTCCAGATTTTTTTTCTACCATAAACCATTAAGAATTCTTTTGCCACTAGGAATGACATCAAAAATACAAACCATGTTGGAATTATATGAAGTAAAACTTAAAAGTTGTCAAACAGGGTGGACCCGATACTTCTGGAGTGTACATATTTACCATTTTACATTTTCCTATTCATTCTTATATGTTATTCTCACAGGTCTACAAGAAGTGGTAAAAATGTCATTATCCCTGTTTCACAGAAAAAGAAATAAAAAAGACTGGGTGAGGTCCTGGAGTTGATAAATATTAGTGTCGTAAAATGAAGCTTTATCTGTTACGTAAATCACCAGCTGCCTTATGTGAAGAAAAACAGTCTTAGAGGGATTAATTCATTAATTGCACAGGCATTGATTAGGGGATTTTTTCATGTGCAGATAAAATAGATTGCCTGCCTGCACTTGAATTTTGTCGCCTAGGCTTTACTCTTTTTAAATGTACATAAGGGCAGTTGTGACAGCAGGCTGAAGAAATAGCATAAAGAGCAGAAGAGAAGCCTGCTTGGCATACACATTAGTTGGAGCCACTGTAAGATGTTCAAAGCAGGGAGGCCTGGAAGATGGCAGCAGTAGGAAGCGACTGGTTCCAGTGGAAGGCTCCCAAGTTACAGAGCAAGTCTCATGCCAGTCAGACATGGGTTCGCTTCCTTGTCCCCACATCTACAGTGTGTATTCTTGAAGAAGTGCTTCTTTGTTGCTTTATAAATGTGAATGCTCAATTTTTCTTCGTTCATGCCTAGAGTTCTTTTAATTTACCAATATGTTGACTAATTAGGCAGGTATTTTTTTTAACCTAAGAAAATTACGAAGATGCTATAAAGAAATCAAAAATCTATTTGTAATTAAGTTATGGATTAAAATGTGGAGAGTGGCTTGACTTTTTAGAAAGGAAATTTGGTCAGCAGCAGATTCTTTGAAATAAAATAATCTTCTATAAATGTAAGTGTGAAATTTAGTGAACATATGAAATCAAGTACTATCACATTGCCAAGGTAGTTCTTGAGACTTTATAAAACTATTTAAGGTCATATTTTTGTGACAGAATAATGCCTATTGTGTTTCTGAGGTAGACTCAGGCTTTAGAAATCCCAGCCCCAAACCATCAATTGCTTTAGTACTTGTAGAAAGAAAAGATGACATTTAACCAAGGAAAGCACTGAATGCATTCAGTAACCAACAGGAAAAAGCACATGTAATATCTTTATAGTCTAAAATGTGGAAAGATTTATCATGTTTTTCAACTTAACAAAGTAAGTGAGCAGACACAGCAAATCATCCAAAAAACGCAACAGAAATAAATGAAATCTTTAGCAAGACAAGAAAGAACTGCTAGGTGTTTCCCTATTAGTCTTAGAATCCTACAGCAAGTGCTTCATAGACAACTGGAACTATCAAGACAAGCACATTTTTTTGGCAAAGCTGAATGATGAAAAATCCAGTGTTACTGGTTAAAATTCGGATTCTCTAAGATAGAATTTCATGAGGGTTCCATGATGATTGCCCAGACATGGCCCTCAGTCTAACTCTAAGTCTCCTTTCCTGGGCTTTGATGTGTTGGGGGAACCATGTGAACTGTTCTTGTGTTAATGATTAAATAGGGCTCTTTTTATGCTCTAAAAATACTAAAATACTACCGAGCACCCATGGCACTGTGGGATATAAATTTGACAAGGCCACTTGATGAATTAATCTCTCAGGCTTTGTAATTTTTATTTTATTAACTGGTTAAATCAAGGCCTATGTGTTCAAATTAAAAAATTATTATTTAAAAATTATTAAAAATACTGGTTCAGAGTCATAGGAAAATTTCTACTTCAAAGCTTTTCTAGCTATAGCCTATCTGCTATACAACATATTCATTATAAAAATAACACCTTTGTGATTTTTTTTAAAAGTAAAAGCATACAGACAAGTAGAAAATAGAAAATATGACTTTCTTTTTTCTTTAGCCACCTTTCTTCCCACTCAGAGAGTTCCCATTATAGACTTCTGGAAATTGATAAACTACATTTCAGAGACCCACTCTATAGTGTCTGGCTTATACATATATCAAGGCTCTGAATGTCTGAATTGACATATTGCTTTCAGAATTCACACTTCATCCATGTTCCTTTATCATGTACACACAGTGAAATCAATGTAGCTTTACAAGAAAGAGGGAAACTAAAATGAAAATCATAATAGACTTAAAAGGCAACTAACCTTTTTCCACCTCATTCAGATTAGCAGCTGGCAGCGACAAAGACAGAAGAGACAAAAGACTTTTACATTGCAGTACAACAGCAGAGCACATCAAGCCAATGCACAGCATTAACAACAGAGCAGCCAGGCGAGAGAGCAAACCGGACCAAGGCTTAGATTCCTTACCTACAGCTGGCCAACGCACACACATGGAGAGAATGAGGCAAAGGATAAACACCGTCACAGGGAGCTGGGGATCTGTTTCTAAACCAGGGGGTGTGTGGCAACCAGCAGTTTTACTGCTTACGATGTGCACTGAATGGTTGGTAAATAGGCATTAGAGATTCAGCAGAGAGAGAATGGCACAAAATGGGAAAATTAAAATTCTGATTACTTTCCATAAAATATACTTGAAGCCTTTTTATGTCCTATTTGTATGAAAACTTTTTATTTTACTGAATTTGTATAGTCCCATTAAGCAATATGAGAGCTTACAATGGGATTCAGCTCCTATCATACTTGTGTATGGTCCCAGAATAGGGGCAATTAGTACCTACTCAATTTTGATACAGCAGACCCAAGGTTCAATTCAACACCTAAAACTCTTAACACTAGAGCCTAAGGAAAGGTGTCCATGTTTTCAACACCGAAAGGGTGTTGCATTTCCAATTTTCATTTTTATAGGTTTCGAGCTTGTGTAAAATTTAAGGAAGTCCTCGAAAACGTCTTTGGAAAGGATATACTGATTTAAGAAAACAAAAGCAAACCCCAAATCTCTCTGGCTTTTAAAATGAAAATATTGGAATTCACTTCTAAATCATCCGTTCAACAATTTTAAAGTCTCTGCTTCCTTATACTTAACATAGTTATTTTAATACAGAATCATAGTGGATTTAGCTTTTTAAAATTAATCTTGTCTGATGAATGACTGCCATCAATGGGCATGCATTTACAACTAGCAGGGTGGATGTTGGGTTGCAGTAGGTAGGGAAGAATCATTTTGAAGACTGGCAGAAGGGAGGGTATGGCAAGGTTTAGGTAATAGAAAAACAGACTGGCTTCTCTTCTAGTATGTAAACAGCTACCTATGGTGAAGTTTTGGCCATTCAGGGCTTAAGTCAAGTTTAATACGTTTCTTAATGGTGGCTCATTTTATGCTGAACGTTTCCAGTTGAGTTTTACAACTGGCTCTTCATGACTTCTCTGTCAGATAGCTTTCAGAGCTCTGACTTTTCTCTGTTGACCACATTGTGTCCATTTTCACCCATGACCCAGTTGCCAAATTTAAATATTTTCACCATAATCATTTACAAGCTTTATCTATCAAGCATTATTTGCTCTGTTAAGCAGAGTTCACTCTCTCCCTGTAAGTCCTTGGGATACAGAGTAAAAAAAATCATCAAAAGAAAAAGCAACTTGTGACTAATGACTTTTAAACAATGACAACATTATTATATTTCCTGCGCATAGCTGGGTCTCTGTTCCCAGATTTCATGATCATTAATCAGATTCCAAACTTACATTTAAAACAATATAGTCACATTATAAGAAAATTCTTCCTTCACTGCAAACTTGGATGGAGCAGGATATGAAACTCCAGAGTCCCATTTATACTTTCCTATAATTAAAGGTCACTTATGTGCCACTTACTTCAAAATCTGCAGATGGTTGTTTGATATTTTGTAAATGAGCTCATTTCACATGTGTACAAAAGTACTACAGTTAAAAGATGAGCTACGAATTTGCCCCATTTAGCTATCTTCTTTAATGCCAAATTGTCAAACTCTTCATGGCCCACAAGACACAGTCCAAAATTATAATGGTGATATCTTCCCGCTCTGTATGCATTGCACTTTTTTCTTGAGTTCAGTATTTGTGTTGATCTTTTGCCCAAATTAAGGCAATCCAACACTGTAATAGCTGTGCTGTAAGTAAAAAGGCTAAATGACTCTAGCTCTTGCCCAGAGCTAAATGGCTCTTGACAGATAGTCATGGCAGATTCCCTTGTGACAGCTTTCGTGATGTCATATGTTGGCTGAGCTTCACGTCTTTATGATACACTTCAAAGAAAGAGATCTGACTTGGAGGGGGAAGTGGGGCTTCCTCATACTTCTCAGGGGAAGTTGCCCTGAACTGAATCCTTAGGATGGAAAAACATCAATTTAAGAGGATCAGGGCAGGACAGGAGCTTGGGAAGTGAAGGGTGAACAGGTGAGACATAAACTCCAAAGAAATGGATACGAATAAGGAGTAGCAAATCAAATGCCAAACCAAGGTGGAACCCCTCCCAAACAGCTCAGAAGATTCTACCACCTTAAAGAAACCATTACCAAAAACATGTGAGAACCTGAATATGGCCATGCTCCCAAGTCCAGGTTACCATCAGGAAGGCATATGCGTATATCCATGTGTGTGTGTGTGTGTGCGTGTGTGCGTGTGTACATGCACACAATTCCTCATTTCTATGCTCAGGGGGGCATTTGCTAGCTATAGTGTACTGGAAATTCTTGGGCCCAATTTGTTGGAGTCAGAGCAGGTTGGTTGAAAGAGGCCTCCAAAATTAACTAGGTTAATAAGTCCTTTCCTGTAATTATCCAAAAAAAAGACAGAAAAAGAAAACTATTTTGTCCTAACAGCATTCTGGTAACAGATATTGGTACAAAGACTGGGCTTATTATACAAGTCTAAATGAGCTCTTCCAACAAAGCTCAGATTCTCTAGGAAGCCTTGACGGCTCTCGAAATCTGTTAGGATGGCAAGTATCTGAGGTATGGCACAAAGAATAGTGGTGTGAAGGTCAAAACTTGGGTGCATTAAAGTCTTTCTGGCAACTTTAGAAAAAGTGCATGGTAGGTATACTTGCCATCCCTTGTTAATGCAAAATATCAAAGAATGCTCAAATTCTGCTTTCTGTATGTACGTAATAGGATAGTGATATACCATACTCAAATTTCTACTGGATACTCAGTATAACTTTACACAGCATCAACTGTCTACTTACAAAAAAATACAAACACACATATACACACCATGGCCAAAGCAGCTTCAAAGGCACTCAAATAGATATGAGTTCTCAAAACCAAACCTTACTGTTTTTTCTAGCATCTGTTCATCAAGAAAGGTAATATAAAAGTTTGGTATTTCATTAGAAATTTCAAATGATTTACCAATGCTGTGAAAGATAATCCTAAAGATGTGTGTTCATTTTTCATATGTAGAGATGTTAACCTTAGTCGCATACATAGTTATATCACCCTTTCATATTCTCAATTATGGATGAGCTTATATGGCCATAATGAGAATTAATGAAAGCCACTCAGAAATGAAAATAGTCACTTTTAGTAGAGTGATTGAATCTACTTTTCCATTTTTTTCTTACTAATAAAATTTGTAATATCTTCGTTTTCTATCAACTTTAATGATTTACTTAGGAAAATATTGTAACTGTGAAGTTTCTTATTCATAGCCACAAAAATCAATCACACAGATATTCTAAGAAAACAGAAAAGTTATAAACTTGATGTTGACTTTATAGCAAATTGGTTTGAATTGGGAGGAAGTTTATCAATTTGGTAGGCTTGTGAGATTTATCACCCAAAGAGACAAAAGTGTCACAAAAGAAATGATGGTCTCACGAGACTCCAAAATGCGCAATATCTTCTTGAGTTTTACTCTGAAGGTCACAGTTTACTGGAGGAAAATACCCTCTAGTGAAGAAATAAGCATGAACCTGAGAAACCTCAAATCCTTAATTATGTTTTGGCTGTATAAATCAATGCCCTCTTCTCACATACGTCTTGGTGGCCTCGTTTACCTAGAGAAAATTGTTTTCATGAAAATGCCATTAAACCGTGGCACCAAAAGGTTCACCAACAGCCTTTGTTTTGCTGGACTACTTGGTTTAAGACGGATGCATGTGTTTGAATGGCGCTTCCTGGGTCTTTTCTTTGGTTGTTTGAAATCATCTTCAAGAACTTCTATTACTTACATGACACCAAATTTCCAAAACCCCTACCAGTTATCAAATAATATAATGGTTTACTAAACATATATCAGCTTCAATGATGCTTGCAAACAGATATTCTGATGAATGTATACTATTTCCTACTCTTCATACCTGTGAACTCAGGTGGGCACAGGCAGGTATAGTTATTAATTCCATCGACACATGTAGAATTATTTTCACAGTCATTATCTTCACAATCATCAACATTGACTTCACAATTTTCCCCTTCAAATCCATCTGCACAAATACACCTGATGACCGGGGAAGCAAAAACATCATTTTGTCACATTTTAAAGTCACATTGTTTAATTTTGAAAAACTCATAAATACATTGATTAACTATGGAGCTTTTACTTTTAAAATGTTTTTAAATGAAATTTTGTAAGCACCAATAAGATAATATTCACCAAACCAGAAATTGGTAGAAGAGGAAAAAAAAATCTAAGCTGGGTGTATGATAGCAATGTGTGCATTGTTTTAGAAGTAAATAAATGCAACAGATTTTTTAGGTCTAAAACACAAAGCTCTCACCCATAACATACATATCTTAATCTAGAGTTATGCTACAGTAAAATAATTCATAATTTCTCATAAATGAGGAATTGATTCTTATTTTTAAATTTATATCTAAAACATGCAAAGTTGCTGATGTCTTGAAACCAGAAAGAAACCTGAAAACAGAATTTTGTTTTCTTTATATTTCAAAATGTGAATGCTATCTTCAAGTCTCAATTAAATATGACTTTTACCATGGCATAAAACATTGTATTTTTAATCTTGATTAAGTACGCAAATAATCTTTGAGTAAATTTTAAATAGATAAGATATTTTCATAACAGAATACAGAAATGAAGTGTAACTCTTCCAAAAAAATGGCATCTCCAATAAGCATTAGATTAGCATTCTTATGTGAAATTATGTGTCATTTAATAAAGAATTCTATTTTATAATGCATGAGGTATAACTGAATTAATTGTACCATACAATTAAATAACCACAGATTAAAAATGTTCACAGCATGTTTGCCTACTTGTATTGGGGCTTGGAAGTGAATCATTAATTTTCTGTTTCAGTGGGACGTATATCTTAGCATTAAACACAATCGGTGAATCAGAAGCAAAATGACAGATGAATAAATGAATTGCAGTGAGAAACTAGCTGCCTATTAATTTAGCATAGTATAACAAATACTTTGTTTTGCACTAATATAACCTGATTAATCATAATATATGTGTGTGCATGTTTTCAAATTTGTTGATTTTATGGCATCTTGAGCTGAGAACACTGCGGTGTCTACATACGTATTTTTTCAATATTGCAATAGCTAGGACAAGGATGAATATATTCAAGATTGCCATTATACTGGTGTTCCTTTAAGAATACCCTTTGATTTAGGAAGGAAAATATACGTGTATTTAGTTATTCTTGCTCCTAGACCGCAGACATGATAGCAGCCGCATGACCTACCAGAACCCATCTTTTTCCCCTTCCTTTAAGTGGCAAGTTCCTCCATGTTTACACGGGTTACTGATGCAAGCATGAATAGGAATGTCACAGTCTTGCCCCTGGAGAAGGAATGGTCAAGGAGAGTTGGATGTCAACCAAGGCATTCTCAGCACTCAGAGAAAGGAGTGTGGGATAACGAGGCACATTTACAGAAAGATATTTTTTCATGATGTGGCTCCTCAAACAGCCTCTGCTTACCTTGAAACCATATGGACAGGTGCATCGATAAAAGTCAACAGGATCATTGTTACAGGTGCCATCATTTTTGCACGGATTGGATAAGCAGGGATTACATTTAGCAAGAATATTGACATCGACGGGACCTAAAATTTAATTGAAACATATGAGAAACAGATGCTTTCTATTTTTAGTTTGCTTAAAATTATTTCTACGCTTTAATATAAATTTTAAATAAATTTATTTTTGATTGCATATCTATATGTATTTTTCTTCTGCGACAAAGCCAGAGTCATCATCAATATACTATGTTCAAGAATGCAACAGGAGGTCTTCTCCCTGGGAGGTACTATGGGACTCTTAAGTCAAAGTGGGAGTCTGAGTTTCTACTTTAGGGAGTTAGTATCTGGTGTTAAGGAAACCAGTATCATAGAGCAAGTCCACGTCTTACATGGACACTGCCCATACCTGTGAGTTTCAGAGAAATGTATGTTGTCACAGAGAAGACTGTGAATGTGTGTGTGTGGGGGGGGGGGGGGGAGAGAGAGAGAGAGAATGAGTTCTATAAATAGATAGAAATCCATCACTACAATGAAAAACAATTAAAAACACCTGCCCAGATCCAGATGACATTAGCTCAGAGTGTTTCATATAGGAAATACAAAGTGGTGCCACTGTTGGTTATATGAAAATAAACCAAAAATTTAATCTCTATTATATTCTCCCTCATATTCTTATGAGTTAGTTTCTCCTCTAGTTCATCAGCATACTGCTTCTATGTCTTCCCCTCTGAGAAGAAAACGCCATTGTAATTTCACATTTTGAAATACACTTCTTAAAAATCTCATCATTCAGGGGCATTTGGAACAGCAGTTACAATGCCACTCAGGATATGGGCAGTCCCTGAGTTCCTGGTTCTTTCCTGGATTCTGCCCGGTGCAAGATGGGCTGTCGCAGGCATTTGAAGAGTGACATAGCAAACAGGAGATCTCTGTCTGTCTCTGACTGTGGAAGCTGTACACTCCTCAAAAAAATTGTGGGCCCCGATGCTATTTTTCACTGCTTGTGATAATTTACTAGACTGCTTGTTGGCAACTGTGTCTGAGTAGGAAAATGGTGGAGTGACATGTTTACATATAATCTTATAATATGAGCATTAATTGCATTTCTTCTATCACCAATCTCTTGATTCCTTTAATCCTCATTAGAACAAGCAACCATAATGCTGACTGCATGTTTCATCACACACAATGTCTACTAGACTTAACAGGGCAATTGTGCAGCATGTGGCTTCCACTCACTGCTCTAATCCTCTAGGTACAACACTCAAAATGTCTTATGACTTCCACTCAAATGAACTACCTTTTATGATATCTACAGGTTAGAATTTCTGTTTATCAGTAGTGGGTATAAAGGGATATACTCCCATGTATAAGAGAATGCAAATGAACATGGCAGCCATAGATTTCTTTATATCTCTTCATAGCCTGGGAAATACTGGTCCATAACCAGTCAAAGATGGTTTTGAATTACAATCTACAAAAAGGAGAGCGTTTCTGCTGACAACAACAAGAACAAAAAACCCTTGATAAAAGTCTACATAGGAATTCCTGTTTCTTTTTAAACGTTTGGAAGTGGATGGCAGTTCTAGCAATAGCTGTGCTAATGGGAGAGGGTGGTGCCTGCTTCTAGTGACACTGCAGTCACTAAGAGAGACTGTACCAGTGCCACTGTCCCCTCTACTTTCTCTTGAGAACCAGTATAATTAATGAAGTCTCTGTATCAAAAGTATAGCTGGGAAATCAGTGGGATTAATTCTGAAATGAGCCTCACCGAAATTTAATTTACTACCACCCCCAACTTATTTATCAATTAGGGACAACAATCCAGCCATTCAGCACACTGGAGAATCGATGGTGGCAGTTAGTTAAGCAGTTAGTTAAATTAACATTAATACCCCACAATAAATGGTTTTAATATTTAAAGTTATCAAATTTAGAGTCAGCATAGAAAAAGAAATATCTAATTGGTAGTGGGCCCCTCAGATAAATCACAGCAAAGAAGAATCCATCTGGGGGCCAACGCATAGGTTGAAGTAGATGAGAATTGTATGGTATCAAAACAGCACGTCAGCAAGTGCCAGGGCCATGCTCATTCATCTGACGAATAAATGGCTTTGGGTCTAATTTTGGACATTCTGCCTTTTAAGTGTATGGTTTGAGTACAGAAGTTTAGGGTAGGCAGCGTTTAGCTTCATTCTGTGGAATGTGACTTTTTCAAAACATTATGTGTGAGTATTTAGATGATAAACTGGAGATTTTTTCAGGGAATACATTCTGAAGAATGTAAGTTTTCAGGCAATAAAAATGCTGGTCTGAAGTAGTACCTGTCCAGTTTACTACATAGTCAAGATTTATTGGGTAAATGTCAACTGAATCATATCTGATTAACAAACACCAAATAAGTACCACCTAATTTATCCATTTTTGTTTTTACTATGATCAGCTTTGGTTTCCTTTATAGCTAGGTATGTCAAAGGAGTTTTACAACTAGAATTCCTTGTCAGTATACAGAGGTTGTTGCCCCTTTCTATATTCAGTTTAGTTCTATAGACACCTGCCTTTCTTAAGTGCACAGGGCCCCTCTGACCATTTCTTAAGCCTTTTGTGCTAGTTTGGTGGTGGCTCTGGATTTAGGAAGTCAGCAACATATTGAGGTTCTTAAAGTTGACAACTATAGCTACAATTCTATTTGCTTCTCCATTTTTCTCATTTTTCTTTTGAAGTAAGTTCTTCAAAGATATTTCTTATTTCTAGAACTTGAGTTTGAGTAAAGACTAAGCCCAAAGGTTTTCTTATTTTTTTATGTTATATAAGTTCCAAAGAGTATCCTCTGATACGGACAAATGCCTTAACATGACATAATTCTTTTTCCTATTTTATTTAGACTGTAATTCCACTTAACCTTTTAATATTATGATTTTATACCTACCTGGTTTATTTAAATCGCCTATTTCTATATTCCTGCCCAGGAGCAAGCCAAAATTTATAGAATTTTATACACTTGATTGAATAGTCCAAGATGGAAAAAATGCATTGAAGAACAGAAATTGTAATTTAGCGTAATAAAAAGTAATCTTGGGCATACAATCTGAAGTCCATCAACCCAAATTATAATCCAACTTTGTCACTGAAGCATGTGGTTTTAGGAAAATGGTAGCCCTCAGTGGGCTGTTTTATGCATTGAGATATAATGAATATAAGGCAAAAATCCTCATGAGATCAGGAACAGAAATAAGAATAGGGGCTAATATACTCTTTGCTAGACTTCCAAAGGGTACAGTGAGGGGAAAACTCAAAAAAGTGGTTTACTTAAAAGGGGAAAGGAAATCCTTTATTTGTCCAAATTTTAACATAAGGCAAATCTATTTTTCTATTTATTTATTTATCTTTTTCACAAATTTACTGAGCACCGTCTATATATGCTAGGAATAGCTGAAATTTGGGGAACTGACGGAGAATAGAAGTGGGCAGCAAAAGAATTATCTAATGCATAACACCACCAAGAGTTAATGATTTATGTGATTTAAGGACACACCTGTGATTGAAAATTTGGTATGGAAAACTTCTACAAGTAACAGTGCAATCTTAAGAGGCAGGAGAGGTTTTCGTTTTTCTTGCAATACTGCTTATTAAGGAACCAGAGGCATCAAGCTTTTTCCCTTTCAAAAACTAACTGGTTCCAAGAAATGTTGAAATATTGCTAACAAATTAGCCCTCATGAGATGCATGCCACAGAGGAGAAAAGAAACCTTGCATGAAGGATACAGATATTTACTAATGCCACTGAAATGAAGGAGGCTAGTCTAGGCTAACTGGATTGATTTGAGATTTGGTCTTGACTCCAGAAAGCAACGTAACATCAACTGCATGGATGTAGGTGTGCTTAGCTTAATAATTCAAAGGGAAAAGAAGTTGAAAGTTTCGTTAACAATCTGTCTCTGTCAGTTACTTTAATCTTTAATGGGAGAACTGCTAGACCTCAAATCCATTAAAGCTTGTAGGCAGACTTGCTTACTTGACGCAAATCACTAGCTATGCACCTGACACCAACGTTGCCACCCACTGAGAAATGTATCACATTTTGATTTATTACCAAAGCTCTAGACAAAACTTAACTATATCTCAGAGTCTGTCTTTATTCTGGCATCTCTTGGAAACATGAGTAAAATAACAAAATCCTCTACCACTGACCTTGTATAAAGCTGAGGTACATCAAAGACAGCCTAAGAAGCAGGAAGGGGATATTTGACATTGGATAATGAACTAAAAGGAGATTTCTAATTAAAACCAATGATTTCATGCTCCATTTGCTATTATTACATTTCTTAAGTATTAATAACAAAGATATATTTTAAACAACATCCCATAATTAAATCATCCATTTATCAAATATTTATTGAGGGTCTTCTTTGTGCCAGGCACTAGACTTAAGTTTTGAGGGATCAACACCAAGTGAAATGCCTGGATATCTGGAAAACTTATTACTCAGCTTTGAGACATACACATATCAGTTAGAGGAAGGCTTGAGGGGAATGGATAATGCATGTCTTGGTAGATGTGTTAAGTTTCTGTATGGCATCAAGAGAGAGGAATCCATTAAGTGGATAGAAATATGGATCTCAAGTTCATAAGAAAAGGCACAGATACTTGAAGCCATTGACTGAAATCAACTGAGGAATTAAAAAAGCTAGGAAGATTAACCCTCGTATTTCTACACTAAAGAGTAGATGAAAAAGAAAGAGGTATCAGTAACAGCATTGGAAAGAAAAGGAAAGTTCATGGAAGGGATGTTTATGAAAAAACTGTACATAGATTTCAAAAATTTTTGACCCCGGGCCGGCGCCGCGGCTCACTAGGCTAATCCTCCGCCTAGCGGCGCTGGCACACCAGGTTCTAGTCCCGGTTGGGGCGCCGGATTCTGTCCCGGTTGCCCCTCTTCAGGCCAGCTCTCTGCTGTGGCCAGGGAGTGCAGTGGAGGATGGCCCAAGTACTTGGGCCCTGCACCCCATGGGAGACCAGGAAAAGCACCTGGCTCCTGGCTCCTGCCATCGGATCAGCGCGGTACGCCAGCCGCGGCGGCCATT